AAGTGAAGAGGGTTCATTTAGTAAGTTTGGTATGTTGATATATACTCCCTCCCTCCCTAAATATTCACAACATATGCTTTTTCAATAGTCGCGGTATCTTTTGTTTATTTCAACGTTTTCATTGGTTATTTGATAAAATAAAATATTCTTGACACCTCTTATTTCGAAGAATTTTCATGAAGTTTTTTTATATGTAAATTTTATTTTTTATTTCTATACCAATATATAAATAAAAGGAAAAATTATCCAAAATAATCCCAACTTTACCCGGTCTTTCAAAAATAATCCCACCTTTCACTGTGATGTATAATAATCCCAACTTTATTGAAATTTTCCAATTTTGGGTCGCCGTTAAGTTTCTAACGGAGGGTTAACGGAAATGCCCGTTTTAGGCAACAAAATGAAAGTTGGGATTATTTTTGATGAATTTTTGTTTTTTAATTTTTTTTGAAATTTTTATTTAAATTTTTTGAATTACTTTCAACCTTCATTTCTTTTTCTTTTTTAAAGATTATTCTTACCTTAGAAAAAAAAAGATATAAAAAATAATGAAAATGAGAAAAATAACTAAAACCATACAAAATTAATCAAATAAATAATGTAATCAATAGAAATTAAACAGAAACTGGTAAGAAATAAAATAAATATATACGGAGTGGTGGGTTTTAACATTTTACAAACTATACGGAGTTTTAATGTACTACTTATTTTTTTAAAAAACAAGCCGTCATGTAAAGTTAGAATTATTGTAGATAATTTTTTATAAAAAATAAGAATTGATATGTTAATACTTTGTATAGTGCGTAAAATATTACTCCCTCCGTCCCACTATATTTGTCCACTTTCATTTTTGCACACCATCCAATGCACTTCTTTAATCCATTTTATCTTGTAATTTATATATTAAAAAATTATAGAAATTATATGTTAATAATCTATATGTTAAGACAAATCAAACAAGATCACACATGACTATATTTAGGCTTACACATTGAGAGAATTTGATGAGTCAAAGTGCTTAGATGAACAGTTCTAAAAGTCAAAAGTGGACAAATATAGCGGGACGGAGGTAGTAAAACCATCCGTTAGAAACTTAACGGCGACCCAAAACTGGCAAATTTCAGTGAAGTTGGGATTATAATGCATTACAGTGAAAGTTGGGATTATTTTTGAAAGACCGTGTAAAGTTTGGCAAAAATGTGGCAAATAATTTGGGACGGAGGGAGTATTAGATAGAGTGGTTCATCTCCCTAAGTCTGCCTTTTCAAGCCCATATAGTCGTGTGGAGAAAAACACTATAAATGCGTTGTAATTTCAATCCCAATGACTAAGAAAAAATCAGACCACGCTATTTCCTGGCCACTAAAATCAACGGAGCAGAAAAATTAGATTTTTTTGGGCATGAAAATTTTTCCAAAAATCTTTTCCTTTGTTGTAGTAGTAGATTTTTCAGAAAATTATATTTCTAAATGAAACAAAATGGAGCTACCTCCATATTATATAATCTATCCATCCTAAAATCAACTTCTCATTTAATTTTTGATAATTAATATCTCAAATGCAATATTTTGACCATTAATAATTCTATTTATATATAAATATATTTTATAAAATTAAAATATTTCAAAATTATATTTCAAAATAAATCAATTGATACTAAATTTATATGAAAACTCAATATATTTTTTCGTAATATTTAGTCAAAGTTTAAAAAAGGCAAATTGAGAGTTAATTTTAGAAGGGAGATATAGACGGTCATTTATTATTTTAAACAATGATCCACGAAATGAATACAGTAACACTTTTGAAAGAGATATTAATTACAATTAACACATTTATTATTTTAAACAATGATCCACCACATTCTTTAAAAAAGGCATTTATTGTCATCAAAATACTCCGTAGTTGTCTTTTTAGATTTCTAAAGAGATGAAGTGGGATATAGGGAAGAGTAATATTTGAGCTCGGGAAGTCCAAAGGACAACATGCTGGGCGGGAAAACACCATCTTTATTTTTCTTTTTTCTTTTTTATTTCTCTCCCCAATTCTTTTGCTTTTGTATATAGTATAGATTGTTTCTTAATTTAACCGTTTTTAGTTTTTTGGTACATTAATTTTTTATTTAGTACTTATATACAAGCATATTGGTTTCTAATATAATGTAGAGCTAAGATGTTTTTTATTAATTGAAATTCAATCTAAATTCAAATAAATTACATTTCTAGATTACCATTCTTGATTTACGATACCTTCCCTCCGTTGGAGATGGACACTTTTTGAGAAGGTAAATTTGATGTTTTGGAGGGGTGAATGTGATATATACAAACCTACCCAAGATACGCACCACCATTAGAGTTTCTCTTACACCTTATACTAGAGGTGATAATCGGGTCAATCAGATCATTTTCGGATTGAATTTTTTCGGTTCAGATAATATTCGGATATATGTTATAATTGGTTAGGTTCGGTTCGTTTGATTCGGTTCTATAAATTTCTCAATTTTGATTCGGTTTTGAGCAGGTTCACATACGATTCGTATATAAATCAGTTTGGATAGATTTTTGTTCGGATGCAATTTGGATCATATGTATATTCCAGTTTCGAATCTGGTTCGGTTTGGATATATTTCAGTTTCAGATATGTTTTTGTTCAGATATATTTTGATCGAATATATTTTGGATATATATTATTTTCTAATTAAAATTTAAATATGCATGTTTTTTTATCACATGTATCAATCTATCATCAATTCAACACTTTATATTATTTTATATTTTTTCTAATTATATTATCTTCGGCCTAAGATCTTTTTATTTAGAGCTTAAACTCTTAACTTACACTTTGTTCCAGTTTCATCTAGTTTCCTCCAATTTCTTCTAGTCTTTCAAGCTCTTTCCTGTTTCTTCCAACTATTCCCATTTTCATCAAACTCTTTCTACTCCACAACCAATTACTCTAAAAATGATATATTTTTAATATGTTGATGACGATTATTATTATTATTATTATTATTATTATTGTTATTATTATTATTATTATTATTATTATTATTATTATTATTATTATTATTATTATTATTAGTCTTGTTGTTGTTGTTATTAGTATTACAACTATTATGTTCATAACTATAGTTTATAAATTGTTTTTTCATCTCAATTTTTTTATGATTCACACTCATTATTATTTTTTCTTCAACTTTTAATATGAATAAGAAAAATCTTTTTATATTAATCTACATGATAAAATAGGAAAATATCAATATTTTAAACCTATATTAAAAAAGTATGGATAAAATAGGTACATAGAATGTTTTATTAATCTAACTTTATATAAGACTCCTCACCTTTCCCTTTATTACTCAATTTTTTCTCATTTTTATTTATTTCAAAATTAAGTTTTTTTTGCATTTTCCTAATTTTATTAAAAAATTTGAAAGTTAAAATAGTTTAGAGAAAAAGACGAAAATAGGAGTAAAACATAGAACAATTGTGCAAAAATAAAAGTTCAATATCTTTTTTCAAAAAAATTGGATTTATAATGAAAATAAAATGTCAATCAAGAAAGAAAAAAATAGGTTTGATTATATTATGTGACATGTATGATATTTAAAACAAAAACTTGTAATATATAACGTAAAATTACAAATATTTTATTTTATAATAAATACTGCATAAATAAATTAAGGTGCAACGTAACCACAATAACTTTTTAAAATTATATATTTTGATGTTTATTCTAACTTTATATTATAATTTTTTAATTTTTTTTAATTAGTTTTTTTGTGTATGAAAAATAACAATAGTTTTTTTATTTTAAAGACATTCATTAAGATAACGTGATGATGAAGAAGATGATGATCATCATCATAATAATAATAATAATAATAATAATAATAATAATAATAATAATGATAATAATAATAATAATAATAATAATAATAACAACAACAATAACAACAACAATAACACTAATAATAATTTATAACAACAAGAATTGGAATGAGAATAATATAAAAAAATACACTTAAATAAATTTTTTTAAAGTTTTTTTAGGTTTTCTAATTTTTTGAAATTTTTTCCTATTTCTTCGAGTTGCTTCATGTTTCTTCTAGCTTTTCTAATTTCTTCCAACATTCAGCTCTAGTCCTAAAGAATAGTCTCTAAATAATCTTTCTTTTTTACTTTGTAGTCATATTTTATAAATTTGGACTATAAATTATGAAAAATATATATTTAATTGTGATATAAAATTAATATAATTAAATTGATTTTAAAATTTAATTTTGATATATCAAATTTTTATCACATCTACTAATATCTTTATGTTTATAAATACAAAGAAAAAAGATCAATTCAAATAGTGTTGCACTCCAACTGTATACAATGTGGTAAAAATTGAGTGAAGTTAAGTGAATTTTATTGAATATTACTCCTAACAGTTGATAGAATTGAATGAAATTAATAGAGTTGAGTGCAAATTTTATAAATTATTTGAATGCATTTGGTTGAAATTAGATAAAATTAAATCCAATAGAGTCAAATATGATTAATTTTACACGTAAGTTTAAAGGTGTAGATCAAATTTGAAAATGACAACACTAAATGCTGCCGCTAGAGAGCCTTTTCAAAATGATAATGCTAACCTATAACGTTATTGAGTTATATTGACTGAATTGGTTTGAACATAATCAAATAAACTCTCAAACTAATAAAATTTATTGGAATGAGATGAAATTAAGATAAAATCTAGTTCTTCCATGCAATTAATCGTATAATGATTCCGCCCTTAAAAGAATATCACACTTCACTATTTAAAATTTTTAGAAGTTTTCAATTCGTAAATATAATAAATTTAAGACATGAGATTTCGAATCTAATTGATTTTGGATTTAATCAATTCAGATATGATCTATTTTGAATCTAATCAGTTTCGGATTTAAATTGGATATGAAATATTTAATTCGGTTTCAGTTCGAATCAGATCATTTTGGGTTTTTTTTATTATAGATCAGATCTTCATTATTTGGATCATTTCGATTTCGGTTTTAGATAATTCAGTTCGAATAAACAGTGTTGGTTCTGTTTTTCCAGGTCTACCTAATACTATATTTTATCACATTCCCTTCTTTTACTCTTGTTATTATATTGCATCAAAACACGCCCAAGTTAAGCTCAACACGAATTATCACTAGCTAATCGAACGTTATGGGATCTGGGAGATTTTCTTTACATTGTTCAAGTTGCAAAATATTATTGCAAAGAGCTAGAGAAGGATGTGAATGAAAATGATAGCATTCTCCCGCAAAATTATCATCTTCGTCAAACGTCTCCCAATGATCCATAACTATCCTCACGCCATCACCCTCCTTTGTCGCTGGAACTAATGACATCTCTTCCTTTACAACCGTTTTATCGGGGGAACAATCGCCGTTGACTATGTCCTCAAGCTCTTGAATTTGATCTTTGCTAATTGCATTCTCTGCAGAAGGTTTTGAGGCATTGGTCACTCCGAGTTCATAGCACAACTCGAAGTGGTCATTGAGCTCTTGGGTTTGGGTCCTCAGTCTAGACGTGACTTTGAGCGCCACTTCTGCCTCAACCTTACTTGTAGATCGGATTTTGGGTAGGATTTTGGCAATTACACTGCGTATGCGAATGTGGAGATCGAAAATCTCTACCACCACGCAGTCCATGGCTTCAATGAAGAGGGGCACGACAGTGGCGTGGGAATGCGGCTTGATCTTTAGCGTCTTGTCAAGCAAGTCTTGCATCTTTTGTAACGTCTCTAGGGCTTGCATTATTGGCGTCGAGGTAAATGTTTGTTCCTATGCATAAATTGCAAGTCATGTAATTAGAGCTCACCATCACTTCAAAGAATATATATAGTTCAACTCGATACATTTGAACTATACGTTTTCCTTCCCTTTTTAATCACTTCTTTATCCTTTGTCAAACATCTATAGCATACTCGTAACAATTGTCGTCATCTACCCATATCAATAAGTATACTCGTATTAATTCTCGTCATTTACCATTAGTCAAACGTCTCTATAGTTTCAGGATCCCAAAAGTCAAAACAAAAATGTTTTTTTAGGGAGGAAGAAAGTAATTGATCACCTTTGGGTGTAGGAAGAGTAGGGCGGATTTGTGATCGAGGAAGGCAAAATAAGCGCGTATGAAGTCGTTGTGGGCCCACATCTTCCCGGAATGGGAACGGGCGTCCCTGAAATTGGAGAGGTCGAAGGGCAAGCGGCCAATCCGGCGGACGGCGGGGATCTTGGAGCAGAAAACGCCGTGCATCAGCATCAAGCCTTTGAGCGCCACCACCCAATTCCTCGTTTTCTCCATCCGCCGGGAAATCGACCAGACCAAAGGCTTAAAGACGTTGGGCGACGCCCGGATCCACCCGTACACCTTCTCGACGCTCGCGTAATCGAAGGCGGCGGCGTTGTGGCTGGTGGCGCGGATCACCGCCGCCTCCACCTCCGGGTTCCTCAGCGCCGTCCTCCTCGACAGGGTCGCAACCAATGCGCTGTTTTGGTCCTTCAGAGCCCCGACGGCTCTGTCCCATAGCTTCCCCATATCTATTGTTATTGTTATTATTCCATTATTATGAGCCTCTTCCCCGATCCCATTCTTTTTTTTAAAAAGAAGATCTCCCCGGCGATGAATTCTTACAAAGGGGATAAATTTGAGCCAGAGGAGGTAAAAGTATAAACCTGAAGGAAAGGTTGGAAAGCCGCACACTATATTTTTAGAAAAATGCTTAGGATGCCTCATATTGGTTGCTCATATTTTTAACCTCATATATGTGCGAGGTAGAGATTTTAAAATCATGTGTCCTTGCCCTTGCCCTTATGCCACACTGCAACATTCGGCCTCTTTGGGAATAGCTTTAGCGATTAGCGTTTTGAAAAGACTATCTACGAAGAGTGTTTAGCGTTAGCATTTTCAAAATAATCTGCACTGTTAAAATTTTATCTAAAATGCTAATATCTATTGTTATTCCCAAACATGCCCATTATTTCGTCAATTTAGTTTTGAGTTTATTTCACTATTATCTCTTGTAGTTTTGGTAAATGTATATTATTATTCTCATGATTTCAAAACATACGTTGTTTCTTTTTATGGTTGTGATATTTGTTGGGAAAGCTTAGCTCAGTTTTACTTCTTGTTAAATTCAGTTTTTCAATTTGTTAAGTTTGTTATTTCTGTTAGTGACGTGGCTTTCTTTCCTCTCTTGTATAAATACTGTGTGTGGACTTAATTCCAAGACAAGTTTTCTTCTCTGCAAATTCAATCATCAATAAAGACTGTTTTTCTTATTTTCCTTCGTTCTTCATTCTTCATCGCCATTTCTGTATCAAATTGTTCAAGGAATTCATCATATCTAAGAATTCCAACATGGTATCAGAGCAGGATTAAGATCGATTCTGCGTCCAGTCATCATCTTTGAGGAATCCTTCAACTCATTTGATTTCATCTTCAATGGCGGAAGAAAATTCTGGAAGAATTCATCCTTCTGATCCTCTGTATCTCCATCCATCTGATCATCCAGGTTTAATCCTGATTTCGACTAAGTTTG